TATTGGGAAGTAGACTTTACAGAGATTAAACCGGGCAGGTGTGGTTACAAGTATCTCCTAGTTTTTATAGACACCTTCTCCGGATGGGTGGAAGCCTTCCCAACGAAACAAGAAACAGCCACTGTCGTGGTCAAGAAGATCCTAGAAGAAATCTTTCCACGGTTCGGAGTGCCCAAGGTAATCGGGTCCGACAATGGACCCACCTTCGTCACCAAGGTGAGTCAGGGAGTGGCCAGACAACTAGGGGTCGATTGGAAATTACGTTGCATTTACAGACCCCAGAGTTCAGGACAGGTAGAAAGGATGAACAGGACTCTAAAAGAGACACTGGCTAAGTTAACCATAGAGACTGGTGTGGACTGGGTGATGCTCCTTCCCTTAGCCTTGTTCAGAGTTAGGAAGACCCCCTCTCAGTTCAACCTGACCCCCTTTGAGATACTCTATGGTGCCCCTGCCCCCTTGACTTTACTGGNCTGAGGCCAGGAAAGAGACAGTGTTTCACATACCACCGCCCTCTAACTCAAGGCAAGTCAGAGAATTTTTAGGTACTGCCGGGTTTTGCCGCCTGTGGATACCTGGTTTTGCTGAGATAGCAGCTCCATTATATCCCCTCACTAAAGACAGTCAGCCCTTTAAGTGGGGAGAAAAGGAGCAACGGGCTTTTAATAACATTAAGACGGCCTTAATGTCTGCGCCGGCTCTGGGTCTCCCTGATGTAACTAAGCCCTTCCACCTGTATGTGGCAGAAAATCAGGGAATTGCAAAAGGGGTCCTAACCCAAAGACTGGGACCCTGGAAAAGACCGGTAGCATACCTGTCTAAGAAATTAGACCCAGTAGCCGCAGGGNGCGTTGGCATGCAGCGTCAGGCAAGCCTATCTTACCACAAGAACAAGCCCGTGCCATGATCAAACAAATGCACCAATGGACTCATCTGGGAGTAAATAAATTGGCCCAGACTGCCCTAAAAACAAAATATCATATCATAGGGCTAAAACAACTAGCAGAAAAAATAGTTAAAAGCTGTGTACCTTGTCAAAAAGTGAATGTCTGCAAGAATACAGCGGGCCCTGGTAAAAGACTCAGGGGAGACAGACCAGGGATGTATTGGGAAGTAGACTTTACAGAGATTAAACCGGGCAGGTATGGTTACAAGTATCTCCTAGTTTTTATAGACACCTTCTCCGGATGGGTGGAAGCCTTCCCAACGAAACAAGAAACAGCCACAGTCGTGGTCAAGAAGATCCTAGAAGAAATCTTTCCACAGTTTGGGGTGCCCAAGGTAATCGGGTCCGACAATGGACCCACCTTCGTCACCAAGGTGAGTCAGGGAGTGGCCAGACAACTAGGGGTCGATTGGAAATTACGTTGCATTTACAGACCCCAGAGTTCAGGACAGGTAGAAAGGATGAACAGGACTCTAAAAGAGACTCTGACTAAATTAACCATGGAGACTGGTGTGGACTGGGTGTTGCTCCTTCCCTTAGCCTTGTTCAGAGTTAGAAACACCCCGTCCCGGTTCAACCTGACCCCCTTTGAGATACTCTATGGTGCCCCTGCCCCCTTGACTTTACTGGGGGATGCATTTGAACCCACTTGCCTCAGTAACAGTGACCTATATGCCAGGTTAAAACGACTTCAAGCAGTGCAGAAGGAAACCTGGACACAGTTGGAAGCCACTTACGAGCCCGGGACCCCCGAAGTTTCTCATCAGTTCCAGGTTGGGGACACAGTCTATGTCAGACGACATC